GGGGGCATCCTTCTTAGCTTCTGAACCAGGGTATCGATGTCGGTGTTATGACCTGTTAGACAACTGAATAGAACAAATGACCAGAAGTCTACTTTACAGTCAGTAGACAGTGAACATAGGAAGATATAAGGAACACAGCAAAATTAAGGAAAATAAATAGCAAACGAAATACTGATTTGTGTAATGATATTTGATAAAGATAGGAAAAGGAAAGTGCGATGATGATCAAATATACTTGCACAGTGATAATGGTCAAAACCGGAAGCCTGTCTATCTTGTACCAAATTTCTTTCTCAAAAGGTAAGATAGTTTACACATCGGTGTCAATAAAAGATGATAACTTGTCGAGCCAGTCCGTTGCTCCCGACTTTCACAGTTTGGGCCAGTTCCACCGGGTAACGGTAAAGTGTTGTTCGTCCGGACGTGATTCTTTTACTATATAACCTTCTTTTTTCCTTTCCTTCTTAAATTGCACACTCTAGTATAGCCGGAGGAGAAGGCGCCCCTGCGAAAGTGCGGAATGCCATAGAGGTAGGATCTGCTTGAGTATTTCCTACCTACCCTTCTGAAAAACAATAAATTTCAATTTTTAAAAAAGGTCTGCCATTGAAAATAGTAAAAATGGCCAGAGTGTATTTTAGTCAATAGAAGTGAATATGCGAGTTTCAGGCAGCTGTTTAGAAGAAGACGAAGATGCGGTCACTAGAACAAGTGTTTTATTTTCCTGACGTTTCGGATTCTGTCGAGAATCCTTTATCATAGGTAATGGTAGGATAGTTTGAGACATGCACAGATAGGGGTGATACATACACAGATTGCACGGTATTTGTAGTTCGTTGCGGTCCTCCGCATGCGTACTATAATAATCAGCTCCTGCAGCCACCGCTTGGAGTCTTAATTGGTGCGGTGATGGCTTGAGACTTTGCGTTCGATTCATTGATTGCCGCGATGTCCTTGTCCGTGTCGGATGCAGGCTTAATAATTGCGCGACAATTATGCTCTCTGCCGTCAGAGTTGTTGCTGGACCTGGCCCTTCCCACGTTACTGATTCTC